TTTTTGACTAGATTAGGTCTTTGGTTAAGCTATTACCGTATTACACTTTTTACTAAGACATTTTTTGTATAGATTTTTTGGATTAGACGCTGGTGCATTAGATTTGAAATTCTTCTGGAAAATCTTCATATCCTCGGAAAATATTTATTTTTTACTCAACAACACTATGTTTCGGGGGTATTAAAAGTTGGATAGTGGCAAAAACTATGTAACACCTCGAAATAATGGTCCTGTACGTAGAATGTTACATATGGATATTCCTATCTCTCAGGGGTGAGTCGATCTAGCTAGGTGTATCCGTCCGTCTGCCCATGTTAGTTTCAGGTCGTAATTATGGCTCGATCCATTGAAGTGGAGTAAGTGTCATAATAGAAGGGGATTGAAATGGAAAATATTTATACAATCGGAAAATATTTCTTTATACCCAGCAACACTATGTTTTGGGGGTATTATAAGTTGGATTGAGGCAACAGTTATGTAACACCTCGAAATAAGCGGCCCAATTACGGTTGTCGTTTCTATAGTCGTAGTCGACGTAATGTGCAAGTCGAGATCTCCGTCGCTTCGATTCAAAAATGCTGTAATACCATTTTTGAATCGAAGCGACGGAGATGGCGACTTGCACATTACGTCGACGACGACTATAGAAACGACAACCGTAATTGGCATAGAAAGGCATAGAAACGACATCGACAGCTGCAGCGAACAAACATATTTGCATTGCCTGAGACCAAGTAAGTACATATTTTAATAAAACTGTGTACTTAATGTGTTCTTTTAGATTTTTAACTTACTTCAGAATTAACAAGGACTGCTTTCAGCATGTGGTAAAAAAAAAAATTCTCCAAACTCTTCAATTTTTTTTGAAAGTCCACGAAAGTCTAGGTTCAAGATTCGGGCTAGACCCGGATACACAATATATTCATCAAGTGGTTATTTAAAGCGGTTCGAAATTTATATTCAAATCATCGATTTTTTAGACCCGTAGCTTTACAACAACAAAATTGATGCCAAATTATAGATTGCACTCCTACCTTTCAAAAATGCTAAAAAATTGTGCTAATACCTTTTCTGGGTCCAGAGACATTCTCCTCTGGGTATGTTCAATCGGTTACGCGAACTAACCATGGCCTTCGGTGGTCATGTGACCAGTTGTATTTTCATAAGCTTTAAAACAATACCTATATTGCCTATATCGGGTAAGTGGATCCGGGTCCTAATCCCGGAATTTCTGGGGACCTGGGTTCGTTCCTTCCAAAAGAAGAAAATATCTTCCCGGAATCAGGGTAAAAATACCTACCTCTGGAAAAAATGTCGAAAAAATCGAAGAGTTTTTACAAAGCTAGAGTTGTACCAATTGTCCACAGTATTGAGGTTTTTAACGATGACGACGACAACGGAAATAGGGCCGAATGGTCCTGTACGTAGAATATTACATATGGATCTCACTATCTCGCAGAGCTGAGTCGATCTAGCTATGTTTATTCGTCCGTCTGCCTATGTCAGTTTCAATTCACGCTACAGGTCGTAATTTTCTGATTTTGCAGAGGGTCCATAGGTCGCAATTATATACGAATCGAATTTTGCAAGATGCTAGATTTTAGGGGTGAACAAAGGCCTACCATATTGTTTAGTCATCGGACAATGTTTAGCGAGTAAAATAAATCACAACTTTTATATAAAGAAATACAAAAATGTTCACTAAGCCGTGAATATTTTTAATCCCGGCGAAATGACAGATGATGTTAATATCCAAGATATCGGATATATAGCAAAATGGGAGCAATATCCAAATCTTTGCCGATCCCGATAGAATTTGGCAAATATATATTACGAATGTGAGGGACTTAAACACCAAGTCGAATGAAACATATATATGGGAGCTATAGCCATATTTGGAACGATTTTCACTAAAATTCAGGTCATTTGGACTGATATTGGCCATTCGGTGCACAATTAATCCGAAATCGGTTGAAGATACATATGTGAGCTATATTCAAATCTGAAACGATCTTGATTAAATTTGGCAAAGGTATTTCTGGGCTGTTTCTGATATCTAGTACCAAATATTATTTGTGTCGAATATATATTACGAATGTGAGGAACTTAAAACCCCAAATGGGATGATACCCATATATGGGAGCTATAGCGATATCTGAACCGATTTTCATTGAATGCACTTGCTTCCAGACTGAATTCGGTCGGATAGGCCAAAATTCAGGTCATTTGGGATGAAAATGGCTATTTGGTGCACGATTAACCCGAAATCGGTTGAAGATATATATGGGAGCTATATTCAAATCTAAACCGATCTCGATAAAATGTGGCAAAGGTATTTTGGAGCAGTATCTGATGCCCGGTACCAAATATCATTCTTGTGAAGTATATATTACGCATGTGAGGAACTTAAAACCCAAAATCAGATGAAACATATATATGGGAGATATAGCTATATCTGAACCAATTATCTCCAAATTTCATGTACTTGCTTCTAGAATGAAATTTAGGTCATTAGGACTTATATGGGCCATTTGGTGCACAATTAACCCGAAATCGTTTGAAGATATATAGGAGCTATATGTAAATCTGATCCGATTATCACCAATTTCAATACGGTTTGTCCTTGGGCCAAACAAATATTGTTTCCGAAATTTCATCTCAATCAGATAATAAATGCGACCTGCATTTTGTTCGCAAGAATGCATGGTCGGACGGACGGAGGGACTGACATGCATAAATCGACTCAGATAGTGATTTTACGCAGATCCTCAAAAGTAACTAACTAAGTAACAAAAATAAGTAACTTTGGACCAAAAGAGGTTTTCCATATTATTATAGTGTGGTAGGGTATCACATGGTCGACTATAACCTTTGCTCCCTTTTTTTGCATAATTTCTATTTCGAGTTCTGCTATTAATGACCTAAGGATACGGCATTGAACGTTGGAATATAGCGAAATCTCAAATTTGGTGATGGAAATTCTAATATGTGTCTGATATATGGTAACGAATATATTTCTTATGAAGCACATCTCACATTTTCATATATTGATAGACAGAATACTCGTTCTGAAATTACACATTTCGTGAAATCAAACGAAGATATATGGAATCATAATTAATCCTCATAAGTAACTTAAGGTCAGATCTTGTGTTAGTGAAAATATTGGAATGTGCCAAGCTTAAAATAAATCTGATGCTTATTTCGCATTTTATGAACTATATAATTATTAAAAATTGTGAACCTTTGTGGGTCAGGTGTCAGAAGAAGTGGTCCCACATATTCCATCTTATTGTTTTAGTAGAAATATTGGTATGAGGAAATTTTTATGCAATGGGATGCTCAATTCGCTATTTATGTTTGATTTGGTTATTCAAAATGTAGACCATTTCCTTATCGAATGATTCTTTCTCTTTCATGAAGCATTTTTTTTTTTTTTTTTTTTTGAAAATTGCGACCTTTTTATGAGATGGTACCAGAAGGAGTGAACCGATGTTGTCATCACCGAACTCGATCTAAATTTGACGATAATATGACCATGTTCATGCCAAATCGGATAATACCTTCGAGAGTTATCGTGCGCACCAGACAGCCTAGATCTACTCCAAATATCATGAAACAGGTTTGAACGAAATAGGACTAGGGCTAAAAACCTCTATTTCGATGAGGCACGTTTTGACCGTAGTAAATGATTTTTTTCCCCTTTCCATGACTGAGGGTATACAAAGGTTAAAAATATCGTCGTCAATTTTATTTTGAAAGCGATCAAACCAGTCCCAACAATTAAAAGCAAAAAAGTGAAAGTAAGCTTCGTATAAAACTTGAACTCGAACTTCAAGCACTACCGCTCGCGATCTAGTTTCACTCACGAGTAAAAACGAACAAATAAGTGCTTTAAAATTATAGCTGAAATTATAAATACGAATATTAATCGTAGCAGACTTTTTAGGTGGTATGAAAATAAAGAAGTTACAAAAAAGACCTATTTGATTAAGTTTTTAAGGTGGCACATTCAGACCATATCCTTATTTTGACGTCTAAAGTTGTTCTGCATGGAATCCATTAAAAATAACAAAAAATATTAAACAAATGTTAAAACATGTAAGAAAAGGCTATAGTCGTGCGGGGCCGACTATGTTATACCCTACAACACTACAATATGTTAGAAACCCCCTTATGTCCAAATCCATATTGGAAGATTTCGCTTTTGAAATTAAGATTTTGACTAGGGACATTTGCCCAACCTTTATGCACTGTTAGTTGTTGTAGTCCATTTTACAGAATTCTTCCCTGTCCTAGAATTCTTCCCTGCCCTTAACTCTCTTCACAGGCGTGTCGATTGGCTTCAATTGTGTGATCGGAAAAACATTCCTGTTTTTGGTTAATTTGAACCCCTAAATATTTTGCAATCATCTCCAAAAGCAAGAAGCCCCTCTGTATCTCCGAATTTAGACTCCTCTATATGATTTGCTTCTCTACGATATTTGGCTATATTCGTCAACGAAATCAGCATAAAAAAGTCAGAAATTTTTAGTTATTGGTCCATTTCAACCCCCTAATATATTGCGGACATCTTTGAAAACAATAGGCCTAGCCCTTCTGAGCCCAACCCTACCCTTGTGAAAATTTTCGTGAGGATCGGACGATATTTGCAATACTTATATAATATCCCCAACCTGTGTTGTAAGGTGAAAAAATATTACAAAATATTATAAGTCAAATTGAAAAAAAATCGCATGCGATAAAAAATATGAAAGCATAAAAATATGTCACAAAATACTACAAAATCTATATTAACAACATTATTGGCATATTTTTCAGCGATTTTTTTAGATTTTATACTTTTATGCCAAGAGGGCATTCTGAATTGACAAAATTTATCAAAATCGGTCCAGCCATTCTTGAGATATAAATATTATAACTAACATCCCCTTCCTTTGTATATAAACATTGTATATATTTCGCTATATATATCCGATATATTTACTATCGGCATCTGCGTAGCGGTCAGAATTGACCTGTTCGTCTATTTGTTATTCCGCCGGGATTAAAAATATTCGCGGTTTAATGGAAATTTTTACTTTTATTTAACACAAATGTTGTGGCCTATTTCACTCACTAAATATTACCCGATGACCATAAGAATCGGAAGGCTTCTGCCCAGCCCTAATATCTAGCCCCATGCTAGCTTCCGCTTTGATTGGTCTATAATTGCGACCTGTAGAGCAACTGCAAAATCAGGATTTTTTTCAGTTTTTGGTCCATTTCAACCCCTAAATATTATGCGATCATACCCAAAAACAATAGACTTCTATTCTGGTTCTTAGCACAACTCCACCTTCGTGAAGATCGGGCCATAATTGCGACCTGTAGAGTGATTACAAATTAACATTTAAAGACGGACGGACACATAAGCTAGATCGACTCGGCTCGGCGAGATAGGAAGATCCATATATACTTTCCTATGTGGAAACCAATATTTCGTGGTGTTACATAATTTTTGGCCCAATCAAACTTATAATACCCCTAACTCATAGTGTTGTAGGGTATAAAAAAATTTACTAACGTATTTTCATACGACATATCTGAATGGATTTCCTCTAAATTTGAGGTAAATTCGGTTGGGACAAATATAACGGTGCTTATAAATATCTAAACCGATTTTCACTAAACTTGTCATATTTGTAACTGAGTTAAATCGGTTGAATGTGTCATTTTACAAAACTTATGTTGGTTTCAAATAGTGACTCTTAGCGGGAAAGGTGACAGAAGGAGAGAACCAAACAATCACTATAATCATGTCCTTCTGCTACATTGGTTTACATGCACCATTGAAAATTTACAAAACAGATGAGCGGGTTAGTTAACTATATAACTTTAACGGCCGATTTTTTGTATTTCGAAGGGATCCGTCACAATTTTGAACCAAATTAGCTTTTATTAGGAATTCGTAGATGGTGGAATGTCGGACCGATTTAAAGTATTCATTTCAAGTTCTCAAGTTTTATAACCTTTCCTACAGGCAATTTGCAAATAGCTTCACTATTTTATATAGCTTTTCCTAGAACGCCCCGTCCCGTCTTTATCGGTATTTTGAGGGTTTTTGCTACAGTCTCCAACCGAATTGGCTGTATTTTTCCATTTCGCTTTCGTAACATTCATTTACAAATTTCCTTGTATGTCCTTTTCCCGAACAACTTTCTAGAAGACTTCCAAACCTGCATCACACACGGTCTGTTGTTTGCGAAACGAAATTGATATAATTTTACTATTTTGTCTATGATTTACATCACAATTGTTTTGACATAGTTCTTGGTTTGGGTATGTATGTATATAGGACACCTACATATGTATGTATATGTTTGTATATATTTATGTAATAATTACTAATAGTTTGTTGTAGATTTTACCAAAGAATTCAGTTTCTACAAAAATAGTGGCTCTGCAAAAATTAGTTATCCCTTAGACTGTATCTACAGCACAGCATTGGGTGTTCAAAAATGTCTTCCAAGCTCTGATTTTTTTTTCGTTTTTTGATTGACAATTTTGAAACATCAACTTCCAATTAGAATCCATATTTTTTGCAAATCATTGAAGAGATTTACTTTAGATTCTAATTGGAAGGTTTTCGTCACAAAAGGGCACAGAGTTTAGAACGTTTCTTGTTTTTGTCGGTCATTGAGTTGGTCGTACAAGACGAAGATATTGACGAGGATGCAGACATTTGACCTGTAGAGCCCCCTGGGCCTGTGGGTTGTGATGGGCTGGTAGGACTTTTATCTTCTAAATCTTCACTGGCATGGGTTTCCAGTAGTTTCAGCGATGTTTTCGGCTTTGAACCATCCATGCTGTTGTACAAAGTTTTGGTTAGTTTGGATTTGACGGCCTTACCCAGAGCACCAGTTTTCTTCATACTTAAACGTGAAATGCCGCGTTGATGTTCGGGCGTCGAAGTGTCATCGCTGTGCTGCTGATGACAGTTTAGAGTGGTCACTGTGAACTCGATATCCTTGATCTCTTCATCGTTGCAGGCTGAAAAGAAAAAAATTACAAATACCAAGCTGTTCCAATTGAGTTTATCAGATTTATTTTACCTGCAAATTCCTCCACCGGCTTATCTATGGTATCGTGATCGATCCAAGTCAACCCCATTTCCACTTTTTCGGCTAGATCTTGCCAATTACGACGATTTTCCAAGGTCCCCTCATATAGGGGCGTTATCCAGGGGAAAGTATCACACAGCACTTTGTAGAGCGGCAAACAAATGACATCAATGAAACCCACCTGCATTTTGGGTAATTCATCCTTGCGATCCCTGAAATCAAATACAGTTTATTTTGATTTCTATTTTTTTTTTAAAAATCACTTTTCCCCTCACCTATCCATCATTGCCACAGGTTGCGTATTCAGTTGCAGTTTTTCCAAATCTCCCTGATCGAAAAATTCATCAGCCACCAATTTGGCTACTCTATGTTGCACTTCCCATGGCTTGGCAATGGCACTGACATCACAGGCCGTCATCATCATGCCACAGAGTACTGAAAGCAAGATTATTTTTTCAATCTTTAAATTTGATTTGTTTTTAGTTATGGTGAGATAACTTACAATCCTTTTTGTCCTCACTCTGCCAATCGAATTCACCACTTTCCACCACATCCAAGAAGGCATTGCGTTTCTTGAAATACACAGCAAGATCTGTGGACAAAATAGCATTCTCCACAACTTTCATAACATGTCGATAGTCTTCTGGTGATAGTGCCTGAAATAAAAAAACAGAACAATGCATATGTTAATTCAGATTTTACTGTTTATACATAAAATGGCAATATTTGTACCAAAAGGGTTAAACGTCGAGCTAAGTCGATCTAGATTTGTGTGTCCGTCCAAAAGTCCATGTAAATTTAAAATCATTCAAAAGGCCGCAGGTGTCAGATGGAGACGTCTGAACCCGCAACATTCCACCTTTTAACGGTATAGCTGTCTATACTGATGGGTCAAAAGTGGAAAATGGACAAAATGATCGTGTTTACTTGCCAAAGAGGTCAGCTGAAAATGTGCACCTTTGGTTGGCCACCAGAACTTAAGCGCCGGCCATGGTGATGGTGTGAACCCGCCATAACAGCCAATGGTCGCTCTCCGCTCGTATTAATCGACCGTGGCATCAGAATAAATTCCAAAAATATTCTGGAGGGCGTATTAAAGCCTTGGGTACGCAAGCATTTTGGCCACAGACCTTGGACATTTCTACAGGACGCCCAAGAATGGTTACAAAATAAGGTTCCTCGCTTCATTTCCAGCGCACAATGGCCACCAAAATCTCCGTATACCAATCCGTTGGATTATTATATCTGGAGTATTTTCGAAAGCAAGGTTGGATCTTAAAAATACCAAAGTGTCGTTCACCTGAAGCAATTGCTTCGCCGAGAATGGGCCAAAATACAGCAGAACAACTTAAGGGCAGCGTGTGACAGTTTCATGGGCCATGTGAAGGCCAGAGTTTGTACCAATTCGAACAAATCTAAACTTATTCTGAAATTTGATGTTGTTTCCGACATTTTTTGGTTTCATTCAATAAAATTTTAAAAAAGTTAAAAATTATGGCGTTAGACTTTGTTGCAGTTTTTTATCTCACCCTGAATTAGCATTGTCGTTCCGTTTGGAACTCCTCGAAATATTCATAATAGACCCTACACAGTATATATATTCTGGATCAGGGTAAAATTGAAAGACGATTTAACGATGTCCGTCTGTCTATTGCATTCACGCTATCTTTCGAACAAATTGAGATAGAAGACATTATTCACATGAACTGTTTCAAGTTTCGTATTTAATGTTCAGCCTATGACAAAAAATTTCGAATGTAGGTTTACGTTTTCGTATATCCCCCATATAACGGATTTCATTCAAGTAGTAGTTTCGACTTTTTTTTTTGAAAATTTTTAAGTTCCTTCCAAATGGTGGAATGGCTTCTTTTTTACTTGTTCTTTCTGATATAATCTAGAAGAAAACAGACCCTAACGGCGGACTTCCAAGGTGTATGTAAAAAGCTTAAATTAAGATTATGGTACAGATCAAAAAAAAAAAAAAAATATTTTCAAATAGATGTACGCTGGATCTGAACGTGTTCCACTTTAAACCCTAAATACCAATAATATCGGTTAGAGAATACAGTTAATGTCTTCAAAATACATCACCCATTATGCCCCCGCAAAACTGGAACATTTATAAACAATATTATACTACAAGGATTGTTATCGAGGAAAAATACGGCTAGAACAATTAAAATACGAAATATCGATGGGTACTGTTACATGGAAATCATGGACCAACACAGAAAATGTTTTGACACCGATTGTAAAAGCCATTGAAATACCGAATTAAGAACAAGCCTGATAAAAATGTGGTCTAAATCGGAAAAAATATCGAATATCTGGAGATATTTTTATGTGGAGTCTATTGGAAAACATGGACCTATATAGAGGGGATAAAACCCATTGCAAATACTAAACGACAAATTCAAACCAGTAAAGAAAGTCTAAAAGTCGGACTGGGCCGACTTTATGATACCCTACACCACTTTGCTAATTTAGTAGAGCTGCACATAACAATTAAAAGTTTTTATGGGAGAATTCAATCATACACCCTAGGATTATAATTATAATTTAAAATTCAAAGGACTTAATATGCCGAAGCATTTTTATCTTTTAAATTTGGACTTGTATTGCTTATTTGGTGCACAATTAAGTTGAAATCGGAAAAAAATATATATGGGAGCTATATCCAAATCGGAACCGATCTCGATAAAATTTAGCTAAGATATTTCTGAGCTGTATTTGTTACGGAATGCATATTACGGCTGTGGGTAACAAATATAACAAATCGGATGAACAGTATATATGGGAGCTATAACTTTATCTGAACCGATCTTCACAAAATTTGACATATTAGCTTCTAGACTCAATTCGGTCGTAAGTGCCAAATGTCATACAATTTGGGCAACTATTAGACGTTTGGTGCACAATCAAAGGTAAATCGGACGAAGTTATATATGGGAGCTATATCCAACTCTGAACCGTTCCCGATAAAATTTAGCAAATGTATTTCTGAGCTGTATTTGATATATTTCCCCAAATATTGTTGTTACAGAGTGCATACTACGGCTGCGGAAGACAAAAATAACAAATCGGATGAACAATATATATATGGAAGCTATAGCTATATCTGAACCGATTTGGATCAAATTTGGCATACTTATTTTCAGGCCTAATTTGAGTGCATATGCAAAATTCCATACAATTCAGGCTGATATTACACGTTTGGTGCACAATAAAAGGCAAATCGGACGAAGATATATATGGGAGCTATATCTAAATTTTGACCGATTATCTCCAATTTCAATAGGATTCGTCCTTGGGCCAAACAAATGATTTGTGCAAAATTTCATCTGGATAGGACAATAAATGCGAACTGTACTTTGTTTACAAAAATACATGGACAGACGGACAAACGGACGGACATGTATAACTCGACTCAGAATGTGATTCTATGCAGATCATCAAAAGGAACTATGGGTCTATCTAGTTTCCTTTTGCCTGTTACAAACAAATGCACAAAGACATAATACCCTGACCACCTTGTGGTGTAGGGTATAAAAATGTCGTGATACCGAATATTGAGGGGTACAATTACATGGGCGCTATAGAAAAATGGTTCTATATATTCAAGATTATGACACCGGAGTTACAAACCATTACCAACAACGAAACAACATGGTAAAAAAATCTGTTGCAAAATGAGTCTTCAATTTTCAGAGTACCGCAATAGTAAAATGTGGATCTATGCAGACAATGTTCTACCACTAGGGGTAGAACCCGTTACAAACTCTTAATACCAAATTTACAAAATATTGCCAAAAAGTGACTAAAATCACAAAGTAATGAATATCGGGATGTATCGTTACATGGAGCTATACAAAACAAGTAAGCAAAGGCTATAGTCGTGCGGGTCGACCATGTGATAACCTACAACACTACAATATCTTAGCAGCCCCCTTATGTCCAAATCCATTTTGCAACATTTCGCTTTTGAAATTATGTCACAAGGGACATTTGCCAAATATTTACGCACTCCGTCGTGCTGCAAGTTGTGTGGTCACTTTAAAGCTAAATATAATCCAATGGTCATCAAAAATGCTAAAATTCTTCGCTGTCCTTAACTCTCTTCTCAGGCGTGTCGATTGTCTTCAACTGTGTGATCAGGATTTTTTTTTCTGTTTTTGGTTCATTTGAACCCCTAAATATTTTGCGATCATCTCCAAAAGCATCTCCTCTTTATCTCCAAATTGAGACTCATCTATATATTTGTCTATATTCGTCAACGAAATCAGCATAAACAGCCAGAAGTTCGCCTTTTGTGTATTTCGGATATCGCCTGTAAGTAATGCTGATATTTTTTTACACAAAATTAGTGGTCCATTGTACCCGCTGTCCTAAATTATAACTTTATGCGAGATTTCGTGTCCTCTGTTTTCTATTTGTGACCTTTATAATGGCTACAAATTCAGGAAAATTTTCAGTTGTTGGTCCATTTTAACCCCCAATATATTGCGGACATCTTTGAAAACAATAGGCCTAGCCCTTCTGAGCCCAACCCTATCCTTGTGAAATTTTTCGTGAGGATCGCACGATATTTGCAATACTTATATAATATCCCCAACCTGTGTTGTAAGGTGAAAGAATATTCCAAAATATTATAAGTCAAATTGAAAAAATCGCATGCGATAAAAATATGAAAAAATAAAAAAATCACAAAATCTCTATTAACATCATTATTGCCATCTTTTTATGCGATTCTTTTAGATTTTATACTTTTATGCCAAGAGGACATTCCGAATTTACAACATTTGTCAAAATCTGTCCAGCCATTCTTGAGATATAATCATTCTAGCTAGCATCCCCTTCCTTTGTGTATATACATTGTATATATTTCGCTATCCGAAATATTTACCAGCGGCATCTACGCAACGGTCAGAATTGACCTGTTCGTCGATTTGTGATTTCGCCGGAATTAAAAATATTCGCGGTTTAATAGCAAATTTGACTTTTATTTAACACAAATGTTGTAGCCTTTTTTACCCACTAAACATTACCCGATGACCATCAAAATTGGAAGACTTCTGTCCAGACCTAAGATCCAGCCCCATGCTAACTTCCGCTTTGATTGGTCTATAATTGCGACCTGTAGAGCAACTGAAAAATCAGGAATTTTTTCAGTTTTTGGTCCATTTCAACCGTTAAATATTATGCGATCATCTCCAAAAGAAATAGGGTTCTATTCTGACCCTAGCCCTTCCTGAATTCTATATTTCCTGAAGATCGGGCCATAATTGCGAACTGTAGAGTGATTACAAATAAACATGGACAGACGGACAAACGGCCGGACGGACATACATAGCTAGATCGACTCAGCTCGGCGAGATAGGAAGATCCATATATACTTTCCTATGTGGGAAACCAATATTTCGAGGTCCAATCAAACTTATAATACCCCCAACACATAGTGTTGTAGGGTATAAAAACTCAACCAATATACCTCATTTTCAATACCATCCATCCTAGACCAATACAAACTATTGTTTCATACTTCAAAGTCTATGTCGAATCGTAATTTCAACAGACAGATGGATCCCAAGGAAGAAATTTATCTCAAGTGTATAATGTTTGTTACTGTATAATTTCCATACGTGACGAACGCAAGTATATAAATATATATACGACATGTCTTACACGCGCTCTCATTTTTAATTATATATTTAGAACACAAACATTTATATTTGCATAATATTAAAATAGGATTTCATTGAATAACCTTGGTTTTGTACAGAACTCAAGATCAATTGGGGGTTTATATTTATTCAGATGTATTAGGAATGTTATAATTCAAAATTGCTAGCTAAGAACATATTTTTTAATTGTTTGATGAAGTCTTTTTTTAATTTTATTTGTTTAAAGAAATTCTGCTAATAAAAGAAATGCGCATAGAATAAAATAAATAACTGTTTGCATAAATTGTTTCATAATTATACGAAGAAGAAGAGAAAAGACATGTTGCCGACCATGGAGTGGAAAATGTTTTTGTAACCTCTAATTTTTGTTGCGGTTGAAATTCATGGTCAAAGTGAAAGTATAGGCCGTTAACATTTTTCCCCACACCACAAAAGATGAAAACATATATACAAATGAATAAAAATCGCCGAGCGTACAAATGTTTATACCCTACATCACATAGTGGTAAGGGTATTGTGTCTTTGTGCATTTGTTTTTAACACGGAGAAAGAAGCGAGATAAGACCTATAATTGACGATCTTAATTGAATCACTTTCTGAGTGGTGCGTCCGTCCGTCTGTCCTTTTTTATTTATTATCCGATTGAGATGAAATTTTCCAAATCGTATTTGTGCTTCAAATTTTGATTAAAACCTGTTCAGCTCCCGTATACAGGGTGATATGAAAAAACTGCAACCAACTTCACACTGCTGTCATTTCTAAGCCATGCGTCCGACAGCTGTTAAAATTATTCCAGTGACAGCTCATTATATGTTTGCAAGCGTACAAAAGAATTTTGATGATAATTTTCCAGAAAAAAGTTATTTGTGATGAAATATTGAAAGTAGGCTCAAAAGAGCTAAAGAGTTGCTTCGATTGGCCGAAAGTGGTGAACTGCCGAATTTGGTGATGGTGTGGGCCGCCATAACAGAAAATGATTGCCATCCGCTCGTATTAATCGACTGTGACATCAGAATAAATGCCGAATATTATCGCGAAAATATTCTGGAGGGTGTATTAAAGCCTTGGGCACGCAAACATTTTGGACGCAGACCTTAGACATTCCAACAGGACTCAGCACGCTCCACCCAAGAATGGTTACAAAATGAGGTTCCTCGCTTCATTTCCAGCGCACAATGGCCGCCAAAATCTCCGGATACCAATCCGTTGGACTATTGTGTCTGGAGTATTTTGGAAAACGAGGGTTGGCACTAAAAAATACCAAAGTGTCGATTACTTCAAGCAAGCGCTTCGCCGGAAATGGGCCAAAATACCGCCGAGCAACATTCGGGAAGCGTGTGACGGTTTCATTGGCCATAATTCGTGTCAAAGGTGACCAATTCGAACAAATCTAAACTTATTCTAAAATTTAATGCTATTTCCGACATTTTTTGCTTTCATTCAATAAAATTAAAAAAAAAAAAAAAATTAAAAATTATGGCGTTTGACTTTGTTGCAGTTTGTTTATTTCACCCTGTTTATGTTTCATCCGTTTTGGTGTTTAAGTCCCTCACATTCGTAATATGCACTCCACAACAATGATATTTGACACCGGTCATCATATACTGCCTGAAAACACCTCTGCCAAATTTTATAGAGTTCGGTTCAGATTTTTATATAGATTCGATAAACATCGTTATCCGATTTAACGTTAATTGCTCACCACATATGTAATATCAACCCAAATTGAATAGATTTTTTATATTCGACCTATTTTTTGCAATTTTGAGAAACTCGGTCCAGTATGTCTATTGCTCCAATAAATATCGAAGTCATATCATATGCTATACAGCTATATTATTCGTCTCCTAAGTGGTATGATCTACTTCACATAAATTCCCAATAAATTTTTTTTCGTTACGGGATCTCTTCTAAATACGCATATTGATGTAGGGTATCATATAGTCGGTTCCGCCCCACTTTTTACCTCTCTTTACTGGGTAATCTTGGAAAAATTCAACTTTGACAGAACTTATTTTTGTATAAAGCAGATTTTAATTCGCCACGTCGAGTTTTAGGTTAAAGTATTAGAAATCTGATAAAACCTTTTTTAAATTTTCAACATTCCGCACCATTACATGTCAAATATATAATAGCCTTTAATCGAAATATAAAATTCTCTTTTATCATGCCTTGTACTGACTCTAGGTCTTCAAATCATCCTGTATCATTTTACCATTGACATTGGTTTTTAAAAATCTCTCCTCAATTACAAATTTATTATTCTTTTTTCAAACATTTATTCTCATAATTACCTGAAAAATATTATTTCCTTCCGAATTCAAAATCATCACACACTGATCGAAATGATGATGTTCCATGGTGCTCGTTGTATACAATATCGCCAATGGTGATTCGGTTTTTGTTTGGAAAGCATTATTCGTACCACGATGATCCAGATCGTGACACAAACAGGCCACTAATAAACCAAAAATTTCCAAGTCCTTCATGAAACGTTCCATCCGGCCAGTTTTCATCATGGCAAACATTGTCTGGGCCACATTTAGGGCATGGCGCCAATTGTGATATTTGACCGGACGGTAGTTTTTGCGTACACTCAGCACCCAACGACACAGGACATCATAGGGTATTTGGAACATTTGCACCAAATTGCATTGGAGGAACATACGGACCACAGCACGACAAGTGTCGTCATCACACAAATCGAAATCTGTGGGAAAGGGGAAAAAGGAGAAAGAACGGAAATACACAAATGCCCATTTTGAGTTAAATGTCTTGATGCTAATCTTCAATTACTTACCAATAAACTTAAAACTATACAAATTATACGATTCCGCACTTGCAATGGCATCCTGTACCAGACGATCGGTTTGATCCTGTGGTGCCGTTGCATGATATGACAAACATTCCAAGGCCACCTTCTGTTTGGCCATCAGCTTGCAGGCATTCTCATACATTTGGGTATTGTGTATGCCCAGGCCACAGAAGATGGCAAATGCCTCAAATATCGAAGCATCGCAATCGGTAAAAGGCATGCCGTTCGTCTTGTTGATGAGCTGGGCCACACCAATCACCCTCTTTTGAGCATTGACAATGGGCATGCACAATATGGCCTTGATGCAATCAATTTCATTTTCGGCCGTGATTTGATTGTGCTCCTGCACCCATTCCCTAACATCAGCTATATTTACAGTTTGGCCGGTGGTGGCCACAAATTGGGCAATTTGAGCCAGGGTCGAATTGCTTAAGTCATTGCCAGTGGGGCGTGAAATATTTGCCGATTGATTAGCTGCACCCAGTTCGAAAAGTACCGTGAAACGGTTGTTGGTTTTTGTCTATTAATAGAAACGGAAAATGAAATCACGAATTAAGCCCAGGGGATATCCAGGCTTACCTTATCGTCCAAACTATCACTGCTATATCTACTGTGACTTAAACGTCTTTGCACTTCATTGGGTTTCTCTATGATTTTCTCCAAGTGACTCTGCAAAAGAATTCAAAATTTTCATAAAATTTCGCTGTCAACATTTTCAACTCAAAACTCACCGCCTCACAACAATCCAAATCGACGAGAAATACCGAACATCTCTCACACTTCAACAGCACCCGAGCCTCAGTCATTATTTTCGTCACCAAACATTCCAAATTGTTCTGCTCCTCGAATATACTTCGAGCCAAATTCAATAGGATCTGATTACGTCTATACTCCTGGACGGACATTTCAAACAATTGAGCATTTTGTATGCCAATACCACAAAAAGTTAAATATCGGCGAAATATTTCCACGTCGTGTTCATTGAACTCCAGAGATCCATCGGTTTTATTAATAATTTGTGCTACACCGATAATATCACCCTCGTAATTGCAAATAGGCATCGAGAGTATTGTATTCGTTTTATAGCCAGTCTTCAAATCTATTTCACAATTGAAACGAGCATCTTGGTAGGCTTCTTTAATGTTGATCGTCTCTTTGGTTTGGGCCACCATGCCGGCAATACCCACACCGAAGGGTATGACAATTTCTTCGGAGCGTGCCTTCTTCACTGCATCCTTGAGGGCTGGAATGGTAAATTGTAACAAAGGATGTTGAAAATGTGTATAAGACAGAAGACCTTCAGCAGTACCTTCGACAGCTCTTCGGGTATAAAAGACCATCGAGAGCTCTTCTGGGGACAGAAGACCTTCGAGAGCTCTTCTGTGGACAGAAGACCTTCGACAGCTCTTCTGGGGACAGAAGACCTTCGACAGCTCTTCTGGGGACAGAAGACCTTCGACAGCTCTTCTGGGGACAGAAGACCTTCGACAGCTCTTCTGGGGATAGAAGACCATCGAGAGCTCTTCTGGGGATAGAAGACCATCGAGAGCTCTTCTGTGGACAGAGGACCTTCGACAGCTCTTCTGGGGACAGAAGACCTTCGACAGCACTTCTGTGGACAGAGGACCTTCGACAGCTCTTCTGGGGACAGAAGACCTTCGACAGCTCTTCTGGGGACAGAAGACCTTCGACAGCTCTTCTGGGGACAGAAGACCTTCGACAGCTCCTCTGGGGACAGAAGGCCCTTAACAGCTTTTTTGTGACCAGAAGATCTTCCACAGCTCTTCTAGGAACAGAAGACCTTCCACAGCTCTTCTGGCGATAGAAGACCTTCGGCAGCTCTTCTGGGGACAGAAGGCCCTTAACAGCTTTTTTGTGACCAGAAGATCTTCCACAGCTCTTCTAGGAACAGAAGACCTTCCACAGCTCTTCTGGCGATAGAAGACCTTCGGCAGCTCTTCTGGCGATAGAAGACCTTCGGCAGCTCTTCTGGGGACAGAAGACCTTCGGCAGCTCTTCTGGGGACAGAAGACCTTCGGCAGCTCTTCTGGGGACAGAAGACCTTCGGCAGCTCTTCTGGGGACAGAAGACCTTCGGCAGCTGACCTTCAACCGCTCTTCTGGGGACAGAAGACCTTCGACAGCTGACCTTCGACAGCTCTTCTGGGGACAGAAGACCTTCGACAGCTCTTCTGGGGACAGAAGACCTTCGACAGCTCTTCTGGGGACAGAAGACCTTCGACAGCTCTTCTGGGGACAGAAGACCTTCGACAGCTCTTCTGGGGACAGAAGACCTTCGACAGCTCTTTGGGGATAGAAGACCATCGAGAGCTCTTCTGGGGAAAGAAGACCTTCGACAGCTCTTCTGGGGACAGAAGACCTTCGACAGCTCTTCTGGGGACAGAAGACCTTCGACAGCTCTTCTGGGGACAGAAGACCTTCGACAGCTCTTCTGGGGACAGAAGACCTTCGACCGCTCTTCTGGGGACAGAAGACCTTCGACAGCTCTTCTGGGGACAGAAGACCTTCGACAGCTCTTCTGGGGTCAGAAGACCTTCGACAGCTCTTCTGGGGTCAGAAGACCTTCGACAGCTCTTCTGGGGACAGAAGAACTTCGACAGCTACTTCAAAAAAAATCCCCAAAAATATATTTTTTGCAGAAAACTTTGTGAAGGTGATCTATCGAATGTGGACCAGTTGCAGGTCTTTTGTGTGTGGAGTTCATGTTGAAGTTATTCTGTCTATAGAAGACCTATTGTATTTGTTAATTATATTTTCTATTTTCAGACATATGAAGAAGTCCAATTTATAGTATTTCGATTCATTACACTCAATCACAGAAATAGCCAACTAAAATAAACTGTTTTCCAATTGAACCAGATTATCAATCACAATAGCCTATACGAATTAAGATTTCTCGCGATAATTCAAATAGGATTTCCCATTGTCTTTAAATATTTCAATTTCGTTTTTAATTTGATTTCTCCGTTTTTCCGTCTCTTTTTTGTAGGATTCAATAATAAATGTGCGCCCGTGTCTGTGTGTGTGTGTGTGTGGACAATCAACTTACGTGTCGTTTGTGTTACATCGAATAGCTTCGCCACCAGATATCGATTGTTGGGTGTCCCCTTGGCCAGAAACAACGAACCACGATCTGCGTGTGTGAGCAGGCCCACATTCACCAGTATTTTATGGCACAGCACATCAATATCCAATTCATTGGCAACATCACGTATCAATTCCATAAAGAGTTCACCTTCGTCCAGTTCCATCAAATGTTGCCGATTGTCCAGGGCTGGATTGCCGCTAGCTGATGCTGATGAAAATGAACGATTTTTCTATTAAAGCGAAAAGAAAGGAAGGCAGGCGGAGAAAGAGAAAAAAGAAACGTTATGAATTAGAAAGATGGACAAAAAGTGTCGGTAATGATAATGGAAATGTGAATAGAAAACCCGTGCATGGTATGCAACAAGATGTGATAGCTGCCAAGAGCCGGAGAACATACCGAACCAGATGGCCCACCGACTAACAATGTGCTATGTGTGTGGTAAATTACACTTACTCGTATGCCAGCAGGTAAGCGCGAGCATGTCTGTTTGTTTTTAAAAGTTAATTTAGTTAAAAAGTTTTTAAGAGGAATTTATGAGATCCTTTGTGGCTGCTAAAGAGCCCACTGAGAATGGCATAAATTTAAATAATAGCATAAAAGCGGTAAATAAAAACCAACGTGAAGAGGTTGAGTGTTCTCACTTATACATTTGAAAACAAGTGGGTTTGGTGTGAACGTTTCATTAAAAACAGGGGAAAGCAAAGGAGACCCATAGCTCTTTAACGAGAAAACCTATAGCCACTCGATGATAAAACCTAAAGCTCTTCGATGAGAAGAAGATCTATAGCTCTTCGATGAGAAGAAGATCTATAGCTCTTCGATGAGAAGAAGATCTATAGCTCTTCGATGAGAAGAAGATCTATAGCTCTTCGATGAGAAGATCTATAGCTCTTCGATGAGAAGATCTATACCTCTTCTATGAGAAGATCTATAGCTCTTCGATGAGAAGATCTATAGCTCTTCGATGAGAAGATCCATAGCTCTTCGATGAGAAGATCTATAGCTCTTCGATGAGAAGATCTATAGCTCTTCGATGAGAAGATCTATAGCTCTTCGATGAGAAGATCTATAGCTCTTCGATGAGAAGATCTATAGCTCTTCGATGAGAAGAAGATCTATAGCTCTTCGATGAGAAGAAGATCTATAGCTCTTCTATGAGAAGATCTATAGCTCTTCGATGAGAAGATCTATAGCTCTTCGATGAGAAGAAGATCTATAGCTCTTCGATGAGAAGATCTATAGCTCTTCTATGAAAAGATCTATAGCTCTTCGATGAGAAGATCTATAGCTCTTCGATGAGAAGATCTATAGCTCTTCGATGAGAAGATCTATAGCTCTTCGATGAGAAGATTTATAGATCTTCGATGAGAAGATCTATAGCTCTTCGATGAGAAGAAGATCTATAGCTCTTCGATGAGAAGAAGATCTATAGCTCTTCGATGAGAAGAAGATCTAAAGCTCATCGATGAGAAGAAGATCCATAGCTCTTCGATGAGAAGATCTATAGCTCTTCTATGAGAAGACCTAAAGCTCTTCGACGAGAAGACCTACAGCTCTTCGATGAGAAGATCTATAGCTCTTCGATGAGAAGATCTATAGCTCTTCGATGAGAAGATCTATAGCTCTTCGATGAGAAGAAGATCTATAGCTCTTCGATGAGAAGAAGATCTATAGCTCTTCGATGAGAAGAATATCTATAGCTCTTCGATGAGAAGAATATCTATAGCTCTTCGATGAGAAGAAGATCTATAGCTCTTCGATGAGAAGAAGATCTATAGCTCTTCGATGAGAAGATCTATAGCTCTTCGATGAGAAGATCTATAGCTCTTCGATGAGAAGATATATAGCTCTTCTATGAGAAGATCTATAGCTCTTCTATGAGAAGATCTATAGCTCTTCGATGAGAAGATATATAGCTCTTCTATGAGAAGATCTATAGCTCTTCTATGAGAAGATCTATAGCTCTTCTATGAGAAGATCTATAGCTCTTCTATGAGAAGATCTATAGCTCTTCTATGAGAAGACCTAAAGCTCTTCGACGAGGAGACCTACAGCTCTCCTTTGAGAAGATCTATAGATCTTCTATGAGAAGACCTAAAACTCTTCTATGAGAAACTCTTCTATGAGATGATATATAGCTTTTCTATGACAAGACCTTTAGCTTTTTTATTATAAGACATATAGCTCCTTCTATGAGAGAACATGTGGCTACTTCTATGAAATGACATATAGTTTCTCTTCAATGAGACATATCATAGCTCTTCAATGAGAAGACTTGTAGCTACTCAATGTAAAGACATATAATTCTGTCTAATTTTAATAAGGACTTATTTTGGACTTCTTTTTCTAAAAGTATATCCCCACCCTAATGTAGACAAACTATTTTACTATGCGTTGGTTTTATTAGACATAAGTGTTGGCAAAACAAAGCTATGCTAAAAGTGAATTTAAGTATTTTGCCAGTTTGTTTTTGTAGCAGAGATTCTTGAAGCCCCCTCTTTGGGTGCACTTTAAATGTAAACATTTCACTTGGAAAACCTGACTGACACTGTGTTTACAAATCCTCCCAGCCAAGAGGATAAACGTGGATGAACGACAACAATGTTGTAATCGTTGTCAGACATGCAACATGACCATTTAGATTTGGTACGTTGATGTGATGTTCGGTGTGGTGCGGTGAGGTGCGCTGCTGCTCGTCGTAAATGTAAATTGCAGCAAATAAACTCTAGAGGGGCTGCAAGTAACTGCTCTTTGCACGCACTCCACAGTACATATCAGCGACACTAGAACTAGCAGTTCGCACCACCCCATCAATCCCCATTTCTTTAACATCTGCTGCTGGAAAATGCGGCAGTGAAGTGCATAATTAAATATTTAGATTTTATCAACTGGCCCAGTAGTAGGATGTGCACGAGTGAGCTTTTGGTCATAATTGTATGGGCCGCTCGTTGTGTTTTTTGGCTAAGCCAGGTTACTACCGTCAACACCGAACCCACCCTAGTCAATATTTAAGTAGAACAAATTACTCACACTTGGCCTTATGGTAAACAACCGTCGCGAAGGTGGTTGTGGAGGAGGTGACGGTGGTATTTGTTGCGCCACTGCCTACCTCTGTGCTATCGTTAATTATTTATGAATGCCGTTTTGCTGTATTTAGCTTCTGTTTTAGTTTTTCATAAAACACCGAGTTCTCATTTGGACCTCTAGACCACATTTCGTGTTTCATTCATTTTAAATTAATGAAAGGAGTCGTGCATACTTGTAGGCTGTAATTGAAACAATTATATATCGAGTGTTGTTTCGAGTGTCGAGATAAACCTAACCTGAAGGCTATAACAACAAATCATGATTGGTTGCCGTTAATTTGAAAAGACATTTAGATAATGATATGAATTATACGAAACATTTATTGGAATAGTTTATTTGGAATATTGTACCCAGAGTTCTTTAATTAGTAGTAGAGAGGCAATTAGTTAGATTAGGTTGCAAATTTTAAAGTGGTATAAATTTTTGAAAATTTTGGCATTAAAGATGGCACACACTAATTGTAGATCCCAAAATGCATTGGTCAAATGGCCACTCTAGCTATTTTTATTCACTAAAAAGTAATAGAATTTATTCTCTTGGTCATATGGCTACAGTGTACCCTCACTCAATTTGTTAAGACCAAAATGTGCTTCGTCGAAGGAATGGTTCTAGGCTCTGTGTGTTTTTGAAAGAAATTAGGACTTTTCATGACAATTAGAATCCATCCAAAAACGTTTCTGGTCCGTGCGTTTATCTCTCGCCGATTTTGTTTAAATTTTGTATATCATGTTATATCTATGAAAAGAAGTTTGGAATGGACAAAATCGGTTCACTCCTGTGGCACCTGGCCCACAAAAGGTCAAATTTTGAGTAATTATAGCTCTTATAAAATGCAAGATAATTAACCGATGTTTCTTTTAACGCAATATTTCCTGCTACATTACGTCTAGTATGAATATGAGATTTAACGATCTACATACTATATAAAGGCCTCACCAATTGCAGTTCTACTCTTACACTTTATATAACATTTAGTACTACATTGTTTAAATTCTTCACACCAACAGAGACCTTCCAATTCGATATTCCACTTCTATTCTGTACAATATACAAATTTAAATACCATTAGTACTTTTCGTGCACCAAATAATACGAATTTCTAAATACTACACACCTATAGTGAACCTTATACCAAATGCTTTTTTCAAAGATCGTCTCCTTTATATTATTTTGTCGTAGTTCTTACATTTAGCTCCAATTTCCAAACCCACCTCTTTATGTCAACCATACTTTATTTATTATACCATAAAAAATTTTGAAATAATCCCGGTAAATAATGTCGCTAAAATCATCAAAATACCGAATATCGGGGAGTACGGTATATGGCGGCTATACGAAGACGTGGACCTACATAGCCCATTTTCTGTATTATGCTGCAGTATCTATTACGAACTTCAAATACCAAATTTGGAACAATTCCGTTAAATAATGTCGCTAAAATTATCAAAATACCGAATAACGGGGGTACCGTTATATGGGGGCTACATGATAACTTGGACATACATGGCTCATTTACGAAATTAACCTGCCTACTGGCAAAATATACATGTGTGCAAAATGTTAGCCTTCTATCTCAATTTGTTCGAAAGATAGCGTGATTACAACAGACAGACAGACGGACATGGCTAAATCGTCTTAGAATTTTACGCAGATAACTTGGACCTACATGGCTCATTTACGAAATTAACCTGCCTACTGGCAAAATATACATGTGTGCAAAATGTTAGCCTTCTATCTCAATTTGTTCGAAAGATAGCGTGATTACAATTTTACGCAGATCAAGAATGTATGTACATTGTTGGGTCTCACATGAGTATTTCGAGGATTTACAAACGGAATGACAAAATTAATATACCCTCCATAGTATGGTGGAGGGTATAAAAAACTCATTAGCGACCTTCATTCTAAATTTCCAAATTCGAACTGTAAAAATCACTAAAAACCAAAACCCTCATGCCAAATTTTAAGATTCTAGCTTCATCCGTTCCTCCTGGACGTTGATGAATCCGTCATTCAGTCACTCCGCTCTGTTTATACTCTACACCACATAGTGGTAAGAGTATTATGTCTTTGTGCATTTGTTTGTAACATGTAGAAGAAAACGAGGTAGACCCATAGCCACTTTTGAGGGCCTTCATAAAA